TTCTCAATATCAAAGCAATGAACCTGCAATGAATAAGCAATAATAATCAAACATAACATATTCAAATATGATCCAAGCAAATAAAATAATAGGCTAAATCACAACTTCAGTTCCTCTTTAAATCCTGATATGTGATTTTGGTTCCCTTATTTAGTCACCATGTTTTAGAAAATATGCAAATTTGGTTTAATTCTCAACTTTACAAATTTGTATTATTTTTCATAATTTAGTTAAACTAATTATTTTTCTAACCGTAGCTTAAATGATATGTTAGATTTAAGGTTCAATTGATCAATAAATAAAAGAAATAAATGCATTTAAAAATGAGATTTGGACCAAAATTTCAGTTTTCGAAAATATAGAAGCTAAAATCACAAAAATGAAATTAGGGAAACCAAAATCAAAGATTAGGAATAAAAGGTAGACCAAACTTGTAATTTAGCCTAAAAAATATTAAAGATGAAAATGAATTGCTATGTTATGTGGCAACATATTTATTTCTCATGCTCTGATTATTGTTATTTAACCAATTATCAACTAACCCAATCAACATAATGCCTCTTTGAGAAAAAGACAGGAAAAAAGTGACATATGTAGCAGGTTGGAACCTAAGATTAACATAAATTGTTAGAACTCAATTAATTAGGGTTAAGGAATGATTGGTGAACTACAAAGTCAGCTCTCACTTCTTTGTATTATCTACAAGAATAATGGAATAAATAGTAAATTACAATCAAACACCACGGAACATAAAAACCTCGCTCTATCATGGAAAAGATTGTTCACATAAAATAAGTTATAGAAAGTCGAGCTAGGGAATTAATATTTGTGATTCAGACAAAAGACTAAGGGGCTTCAACAAAAACAAAACAAAAAAGACAAGAGCTTAAGGGTGACATTCAAATCCCAGGATATAAGGAATTTTACATAAAATGCGCCCCTTATCCACAACAACCATCTAAAAGGGACACATTTACCCAGGCATTTCACCAAAAGAAGCATTCCTCCATTGCCTTTGCCTCTGTTCTGCAGCAACAGCCAAAAAAAAAAAGGCAAGGTGGTTTCCGTTCTACTTGAGTAGGTCAAAGATGTCAAAATGTCAAGGCAAGAGAGAGCATAGTATATGACATGATTTTTTTCTTAGAAAAGCTTGCTTGTATTTTGCAACCCTCTTTTCTTAAATAGGCAGCATAGAATATTTTTACATTAATATGGAAGAAGATTGCAAAAGAAATGCAATAAAGGGATGGATTATAGGAGATTTCCTATTTACAGAAAGTAATTGTTGATACCTAATAGCAATCTATTAAAGATAGAACATAATCTAATAAAGAGTAATAAAATACATTAACACCACCCCCCCCCCCCCCCCCCCCCCCTCAAATTGATTATATATAGGGGAGATGTAAAGTAGAGAGTTGACAGTGTTGGTCAAGGCTTTCCAAATATAATGACAATCTACTTCATTATACTTGGTAGATTCATCAAACATGGATTTGCAGTAATTTGAATAGCACTCATATTATCGACATGAATAGGTGTAGATGTAGGTTGAGAAAACCCAAGCTGCTCCAAAAGATCAAGTAACCACACAACTTCAGCACAAGCAGATGCATTGAACTATATTCAGCCTCAGTAGAAGATTTAGAAACATGATCTTACTCCTTACATTTCCAAGAAATTAAGGCACCACTAAAACATACACCAAGCTTTAGTAGATCAACGAGTATCTGACAACTTGCCCAATTAGCATCATTATATGCCACAAGTTGTAAAGAATAAGTCTTTTGGAAAGAATGACCAAAGTGTAGGTACCCTTTAAGGTATCGAATAATGCGACAAACAACAAGCAAAATGAAGATGATGAGGAGCAAGCATAAAGTAGCTCACCTGGTGAACAACATCGAAATGTCAGGTTGAGTATTGGTTAGTGTGGATAAGACTTTCCTACCAAACACCAATAAGTGGGATCCGACAAAATATCTCTTCATCTTTTTGGTACTTGTCATTTGACTTCCATAGAGTATCAACTGACAAAGTTCCATCTAAACTCTCCAATTGAATCAAATCTTGAATGTACTTTTGTTGGTTTAAAAATATTCCATTGGATCGATGACGTACCCTCCACATCCTAAAAATAGGTACTATCCAAGATTCTTTCATGTGAAATGTTGCCATCTAGCTCATGTGCAACTTCTTAAATAAAGTCATATTAGTTCTTGTAATGATGAAATGCATCCACATAATCAAAAGGAGAACTATAATAGTGGAAGACTTGTGAAGTAAAGACAATAGTCATATTGACTCTATGTGAAGGAGAACTGAAGTAATTATACGAAACTTCTCAAACCAACCAAGGAATCCAGTTTAGGCCTATACAAGGAAAGTCGATAGTTTACAAATATCAGTAAGAAAAAGAAAAGCAAACCAGAAGGACAGTTTCATGTAGATTTTTTCTTTGAGATCACTGTGAAGAAACGACATTCTTCACATCCATTTGATGCAATTGCCAAGATTGAGAAGCAACGAGCAGGATTGTCCAATTGTAGTCATCTTGGCAATAAGAGAACATGTCTCCTTATAATCAATCCCATACTCTTGTCTTTACCAAGAGCACTAATCGACTTTATAGCGATCTAAAGAGCCCTCAGATCGAAGCTTGACAGAGAAAACCCATTTACTTCCAATAGGTTTGATCATTGAAGGACAAGACACAATGTCCCATGTGTGATTTTCTTGAAGTGCCTAAAGTTCTTTGTATTGCCTTTTTCCAACATTCATGTTCCATAGCCTAGGTATAACTTAATGGAATAGAAATAGAAGACAAGGTAGTTGATGAAGACAATATGACCAGCAAAAGGTAGAACAAACAGAACAAGTTCCAGTGGCAGGAGGTGGGTCAGGATCAAGTGTTAGAGCATCATCATGAAGGGTACTAAGAGGATGGGGACGACGTCTTTCATACACAAAACCAAGCTTGAATCGTTCCATAGTTTGTGAAGGAGCTCACCCAGCCGAGTAGACAACACCAATCTCACGAACTTGTGAGTGCTACGTATGGAAGACGGAGGGTAGGTTCTAAAACCTGCGTTGCGTGCAACGAACTCACGAATCTTTAGGATCAAGACAAAATGAAGATACCATCCTTAAGAGGTGCTTTACTCCAACCCCAAATACTCACAAAGAAACACACTAGAACCCAAGAAAAGACACAATTTAGAGACCAAGCAGTCTGATACCATGTCAAAATGTCAAGGCAAGAGAGAGCATAGTATATGACATGATTTCTTTGCTTAGAAAAAAATGTTTGTATTTTGTCAGTCCACTTTTCTTAAATAGCCATCATGGAATAATTTTATATTAATATGGGAAATTACAAAAGATATGCAATAAAGGAGGGGATTATAGGGCATTTCGTATTTACAAGAAATAATTGCTGAAAATTCTAACAGCAAATATATTAAAGGTAAAAAATAATCTAATAAAGATTAATAAAACATAATAAAATACATTAACAAAAGATCCCCATAAGCCCTTTGACTCCGCATATGCTTAAAAGTATTCATCTATAACCCAATCCCACCCATGGAGAAAAGTTCAGGGGACTGACCACGGGTAAACTTAGTGAACTTATACTCTTCTTTAATTTCCTAGACATTAGGGCATATAATACACACTATTTGGGCATTTAAGAACCACATCATTTTGATGCATTTAAAGAATACGAATATGTCAAGGATTGATGTACAATAGCAAAATCTGAACGAAAAAAAAAACATACAGTAGCAATGACAAGATTTCCAGGGGACACTGCTACACCAAAACATGAATCAAATGCATCTCTCGAAATCTGAAAGGAAAATAATATAATTTATAGGGAAAAAAAAAGATCGTTACTCAAAAGGAATGGTAGCTATAAAGGATAACAGTAACATACATTGATTGACTGTCACGGGGTCATATCAGAATTGAGAGTTACTTCATTCAAGATGATTCTCACGCAAAATCCAGCTACGGGCCTAATTTCCTATCAACGTTCAAAAATAATCCATCCATTATAAATACATCTATATAATACACATTAAAAGCACAAAAACAAAATGAAAGACACTTAGCACATACAAAAAGTGGGAGAGAATCATGCAACATCTTGCTGAATGTATTTTAAACTGTACAAAGCTCAATGCATAATATAATTAACTAATTTTGCTTTCAAGCTCTCCAGTTAACATATGCGGAAAATTAATCATTCTTGGTATCAAGTTTTTTTTTTCTTCAGTATGAAAACTAACTAGTCTAGTTTTTAAGAGAATAAGAGTTTCAAGTTCTATTGCTTCAACTACAGTCTAGTTGTTCCTCTAGAAATGGGTAATGCTGATTTATGAGGAGCAGCATCTAGTGGCTACTATCGTTTTTCAAATGCAAACTTATATTTCAAAACAAAAATCTAACACACTTCCATTATTTTGCTAGTTTAAGTCTACAGTTGAATTGTAGTTTAACACTAAACTTCAGCCTTCAAACAAATTCAGATGGGGGAGTTTTATGTCTTTTCTGTCCATTTTGGAAATTGTACAAAGACTCTATTGTTCGACTCATCTTTAATGAGTCAAGAAGAAATGAACACATGCATATAGTAGAAACAGGTCTCGTATTCCTGGCTCAGCCACAGCTCCCTTTCAGTTTAAGGACCATGCCTTTTTCACTGCAGTTTTATTAACAGACTGCCCTTTCTACACATTCTTAAAGGTCTTTTTACACTTTATTTTCATTTCTCAGACCCTATAATCCAAATAAAACGCCCCTTTGCTAAAATAGATGCATATTTGTAGGCTACACCGTCTATCATATTGGACATAGAAGGTAAAATTTGTCTTTGAAAATATTATAATTGAGATGTTGAGAAAAGAGAGAACCGAGAAGTAAAGATGAACTCCGTGTACAGTGTAATGTACTGCTATAATTTCATATTAACCAAGTATTTTTTATTATAATGAAGAAGATATACATTGAATAAGGAATAAAACAATAAGTTATATGAGAAATATTAAGCAAATATTTCTCTACAGGTGTAATCAAATCATATCATATTTTCCCGTTTAATGTAATAAATCATATCATATTTCCCTATTTGATGTAATTATCATATCTTTAACAAATACATTGCCCTAACATGCCTCTGGATATGTTATTTAAATCTCACAGTTAGTTATATAGTTCTAAGGTTCTAGAATCTTCTGTAACAGACTTCAGAAGACTACAGATTTGGCAACCAGCCTTTCGACTATAATTAGCCTTATGTAGTCAGATCCCATAATGATTTAATTCCAAAATACAAAAATCACAAATTAAGTAACTTTTCAAATTCTCTCTCCCTGTGATTTCCTTTCCCTTTTGTCTTTCTAATGTGCAGGGATCCAACTGTAATCCATATAATCTACACAATTATCAAAGCATGTTTAACCATGGAAATGAAAATCATGAATGTAATTGGTAGAAACGAAGATACAAATGCTGAAGAAACTTGGTATGGATCAAGCAATGTATTTTATGTCCACGTAAGTATGATATTTCTTTTCTGCCAAAGTCATAAATTGAACGTATACAAAATTAGTCAAATCACTTAAGAAAAAGATTATAACCTGGCTACAGCTGTATAAAAATCTTCCACCGAATGCCCAGGCCAATCCCGTAACCTAAAGGAATTAAAAAATGTAGAGATCAGAGGATAGCCTGCTTTTCTTTTCAACTAACTCCAAAAGAAAAAGAGGGGAAAAACTTACGACATAATCATGAGCATAATATGAGCCAAGCTTATCAAATTCCCTTGAAGATATGTCGAATAGCCATATTTCAAATGAACCAGAAACTTTGCCAATGGCTAAAAGAATCTTCGAAGGGTATTGAACATGCACATTTACTGAGAGTACAGAAACTGGGACAGCATTTTGTGTCATAACCTATTTGGAATTCAAAGATGCACTTACGAATTATTCAGAAAAAGCCGAGGGAAATGAAAACTGATACAGAAAATGAGTAGCATGTACCTCCTTCAATAGCGAGAAGGAAGTTTGATCCATTTTGGACAGCAATTTGTCATTGTCAGCCAACCAAATCTTCACACTGCAAAGAACATACATGATACTTTCAGCTAAATTAAGATGCTAGTAACAAAATGTAACATCTTACAAAAAGGTCAATCCAATTGGAGTACAAGGGAAGTGTACAGGAATATGCCAATACAAGATTCTTGAATGAATAATATGAAAATAAAAAGTTTGAAAGTGCACTTCTCTAGGGATTAATCTACAGCTTTTGTTCTTGTAAGCATAAGATGGTAAACGGTGAGTGACTTAGCTGAAAAATCAAACATCATGGAGTCTTTCCCTACCTTTTCCTGATGGAGACATGTTCAGTTTCTTCCATTAAAAGTCATTAAAATAAATTAAAAAATGTCTCTTTTCACGAGAGAACTAAGATTTAGAAAGATTGAACATTTAAAATGGATGAATGGCAAAAATGAAAGACATGTTTTCAACTTCAGTCTAATCAAACAAGTTTACTTTTAGGTTAATGTGACAGGTTTCAAGTCCATGCAATGTACATAGGATGTAAAAGGTTAATATTTGTGCGTCCTAAGAACACGTTTGAATTCTAATGGGCCATAAATGGTTGCAGTCTACAAATTGTCATTTGGAATTTTGAAAGTACCTCTTTCCTGTGTGTTGGTGCCAACATTGCTAATACCAAAGTGAATATTATATAGATAAGGAGAAACCAGATGAATTTTGACTAGATTGTTGGAAATAGTAACACTTAATTATTATTAATTTTCAAAGAAGGTTAGCTATTGTTCTTAGCTGACAACAAAAAGCTTCGATGTGGTTTGATTTGTACTCCATTTGTACCCTCAAAGATTCACAAGGTCAAGTTGCAGAAAATCTTACCAAAGGAGTGTGCAATTCAAATTTTGAAAGAGTTATATGCAAGCTAAGAATAGAAACCATCTATTCTCCAACTTGAGAGGAGTGTTGGAAATAAGAATGTCTATGATTATTTACTTTTGTAATCATTATTATTACAAATTGTTAAATATATTGCATTTTATGTTAATTAAGGAAACATAAACTTTTGCTATTGTTTGATATTGGTAGATATTGTTGATATTGTTTTTAACAATATCTTCTATTTACCATATCTATATTCCATATTTATATTTGGTTGTCATATATACTTGTATCATTCTTCATTATAAATATGTTTACCCTATGTGTGTTTTAGACACTCAATATGGTATCAAAGCCATGATTTAGAGTTTATCCTACCGAGATTTCTTATTTGTTCAACCTATTGTGTCACCCGCTATCGGAATATTTGTTGTTTGTTAGGAATACTGTTTCACCCGCTACGAGGCCGCTACCGAACCACCCATTAATGTCTAGTCCCACATACCAGAATTATATACCTCGACGTGAGGGGGTTATGTTGGAAGTCTCACATTGACTAGAGATAAGGCAAATTTAGAGTATATGAGTGGGTGCAAACGTCACCTTACAAATTGGTTTTGTTGGATTGAGTTAGCTTAAAATCCATTTCTTAACATGGTATTAGAGCATGGTTCCAATCAGGAACCTGTAGGTTATGGAGATACTTTTACTCTAATGGCAAAGATTACTTTTGTTCGTTTATTTGTGGCCATGGCTGCACTTCAACAATGTCCTCTTTATCAACTGGATGTCAAAAATGCTTTCCCCAATGAAGATTTGTAGGAAGAAATTTATATGGAGAAAAATCTCAGATTTGTTGCTCAGGGGGCGTCTTCTAGATTTGTATGTCATCTTCACAAAAATTTTATATGGCCTAAAATAGTCTCTTAGGGCTTGGTTTGGCAAATTGAGCAATGTGGTTCAACAATTTGGTATGACTCGAAGTGAGGCAGATCATTCAGTCTTTTATCGTCACTAAGTGTTGGATATGTCTATTTGATAGTATATGTTGATGACATTGTTCTTACAGGCAGTGACCACCATGGTATATCCCAGATGACAACACTTCGGTCACCATTTTTAAACCAAAGATCTTGGTAAACTCAGATACTTCTTGGGTATTGAGGTAGCACAATCTAACGATGGTATTGCTATATTTCAAAGGTAGTATGCATTTAATATTTTGGAGGAAATTGGGTTAATGAATTCAAAACATGTTTACACACCCATGGGTCCTAATACCAAACTCCTACCAAATTAGGGGAGCCTATTTCAAATCCCGAGCAATATAGAAGATTGGTTGGGAAATTAAATTACCTTACAATTACTCATCCTGACATTTCCTTTGCAATTAGTGTGGTGAGCAAATTTCTCAATTTCCCATGTGAACATCATTGGAATGCAATCCGTATATTAAAGTACATTAAAGGATCTTCAAGAAAAGGTTTGTTATGTGGTTCCAATAACTATACAAAAGTAGTTTGCTATTCAGATGTTGATTGGGTAGGATCTCTTTTTGACAAGAGATCTACTTCCAGGAATTGTGTCTCCATTGATGGTAACTTGATTTCTTGGAAGAGCAAGAAATAAAGTGTTGTGACAAGATCTAGTGCAGAAGCAGAATATAGAGCTATGGTCTCAGCCACAAGTGAACTTGTTTGGCTTAAGCAATTGCTTAGAAAGTTACAATTTGGAGATGTCACTCAAATGACACTTATATGTCACAATCAGGCGACTTTTCATATCAGTTCTAATTCGGTCTTTCATGAAAAGACCAAACACATTGAGATTGACTGTCATTTTGTTTGAAGAAATGATTGTATATGGAGACATCTTGTTAACTCAAATGATTAGTTAGCAGATATTTTCACTAAGCTTTAAGAGAACCAAGAATTGATTATATTTGTAACAAGTTTGGTACATACGATTTATATGTACCAGTTTGAGGGAGAGTGTTAGATATGTTACAATTTATGTTAATTAGAGAAACATAGACTTTTGCTATTGTTTGATATTGGTAAATAAAGTTGATATTGCTTTTAACAATATCTTCTATTTACCAAATTTATGTTTGGTTGCCATATATACTTATATCATTCTTCATTATAAATGTTAACCTATGTGTGTTTTAAACACATGAGAGATTAAACCTATACCTAGGTTTACTATATTCAATAATATCACTCTACTAAAAGGTAAACAAGCTAAAGCAAATTCAGAAAAAAAAAATCTCAGCTCTGAAATTTTTTCTCCACGTCATTAGGTGTAACTCCCATTGTCACTACAATGATGCAAATAAAGCTCCAATAAAAAATCTCGCCTAAGTTCCAGAAGTGCATATTAGTCGTTTAATGAGATGAAATCAGACCGAGAATAGATATAACATACTTGCCTAAGCATGCTTAAACTCACCTCCCATCAGAGCTTCCAGAAGCTAATAAAATTTGAGGATTTGAAGGATCAGAAGCAAACAACAACCAACTTATAGTAGTAACCCAAGAATTGTGTGCATGAAGGAGGCCAAGAAACTTCACAGTAGTTGGAACATCTTTGTCGTCAATAGTTTAACAATCTGGTGGATGAAACCTCCATAAAGAAATTTTACCAGATTTCCCTCCAATAGCAAGCAGACTGAAAGAACCGCAAACTGGATAATATTTAGATGCTAAATGCAGCAAGGGAGACCATGAAACAACAAGGGAACATAGCATTGCACTACGAGAAGCATATTGATCAGCACTTATCAGGGGCCAGTGGTTCTCAGGCTTTTCTTTTAACAATTTCCCATTATGATTATACAAAGAATCCATTCGATCTGATGCATTTTTCTGCAGGAATGATCTAATATTAGGCTACTAACAATCAAATAAATGCAAACCATAGTCATCTTTTAGAAGGCTCATAAACAAATTGTTTCTAATCAAAATTAACCCCGATTTGCATGAGAAAATGCTGCATAATTAACTAAATATTGGTAAAGTTTTACACCAAGTCCTGTGGTGGTGCTCTTTTACTATTTCTTTTTTATGAATCTGGTAAGAAACATCAAAGGAATTCTGTTATTTAAGAAAAGGGTTTTGCTAACGAGTGCCCTAAGGCCAATGATTAAGATGTATTAAATACATCCAATTACTTAAAATAGAAAGCATTGAAGTACTCTCTCTTTTGATACAATATTTCTATTTTGTTTGCTTGACTCGTGTCTTAGCACACTAGATAGCATTTGTCGTAGGGGCTAGAACAAGCATATTAACGTTGACAACCTGATGGCAATAAAAGTCCATCATTGGAATCACTAGACACAATAAAGATCTTTGCACAAACATCAAAACAGCAAAATTTATGAACATATCTTGAACTGTATATGCACATTTGACGAGGTACATAAATAATCTAAGTAACAAAAACTAGTTCATGCACACTCCACATATGTCATTTAAAACTGTTTTTCACATGTTATAAACTTATCTTAGCTTTTCTACAAGCATCTGATAGATATAAGGAATAAGAATAAAATGCATCCCAGGTACAACCTGTCTTGTTAACTAATTCACCAGAAGGAAATTTAGAAAAAGAAACCCAACCAAGGTCCAAGAACATAAATAAGATAACTTACATCCAATGTGGCAATCCCTATACCTCGAAACTCTGTACATTTAAGATTCTCATACAGCCTTTTAGTTATGTCCACAACCTGAACAAAATAAGATCGACATATTATACTTAAAGCAGTCTACACATATAACATCAAAATATTCATTTCTTTATATAGCAAAATTCATATATGGGAAATAGAATGAACCCCAAATACTTAATATNGGCTACTAACAATCAAATAAATGCAAACCATAGTCATCTTTTAGAAGGCTCATAAACAAATTGTTTCTAATCAAAATTAACCCCGATTTGCATGAGAAAATGCTGCATAATTAACTAAATATTGGTAAAGTTTTACACCAAGTCCTGTGGTGGTGCTCTTTTACTATTTCTTTTTTATGAATCTGGTAAGAAACATCAAAGGAATTCTGTTATTTAAGAAAAGGGTTTTGCTAACGAGTGCCCTAAGGCCAATGATTAAGATGTATTAAATACATCCAATTACTTAAAATAGAAAGCATTGAAGTACTCTCTCTTTTGATACAATATTTCTATTTTGTTTGCTTGACTCGTGTCTTAGCACACTAGATAGCATTTGTCGTAGGGGCTAGAACAAGCATATTAACGTTGACAACCTGATGGCAATAAAAGTCCATCATTGGAATCACTAGACACAATAAAGATCTTTGCACAAACATCAAAACAGCAAAATTTATGAACATATCTTGAACTGTATATGCACATTTGACGAGGTACATAAATAATCTAAGTAACAAAAACTAGTTCATGCACACTCCACATATGTCATTTAAAACTGTTTTTCACATGTTATAAACTTATCTTAGCTTTTCTACAAGCATCTGATAGATATAAGGAATAAGAATAAAATGCATCCCAGGTACAACCTGTCTTGTTAACTAATTCACCAGAAGGAAATTTAGAAAAAGAAACCCAACCAAGGTCCAAGAACATAAATAAGATAACTTACATCCAATGTGGCAATCCCTATACCTCGAAACTCTGTACATTTAAGATTCTCATACAGCCTTTTAGTTATGTCCACAACCTGAACAAAATAAGATCGACATATTATACTTAAAGCAGTCTACACATATAACATCAAAATATTCATTTCTTTATATAGCAAAATTCATATATGGGAAATAGAATGAACCCCAAATACTTAATATAATACAGGTATGATATGACATATACACAGGAATTCAAGAAATTCTTAAGAGTTCAAGATTCAATTAAACCTAAGTATCTCAACATGAATTTTAAAAAGAAACGTAATTTACATAAATGTACAATATTTGTGAAGAAATATTGACAATTTCTCAATAATACATACCTCAATCCATTCAGCACAGTAATCACAAAAAGGCGGACGATAAATCTTCACATGTCCTTCAGAGGTGCAAACAGCGATCAAACATCTGTAGCAAGTTATATCTTTAAAAATCCATAAAATCATATTGATTTTTTCATGAATGAACAAAATATGATGCTGCTAGAAGCAAACTATGATCCTAGGAAGCCCTACTCTATCATATCAGATATTTGAAACCAAAAATCACTGTCATATAGAGTTTTACATCTGCAAAATCAGAGATTCAAAATCTAGAATCATCTTGTCAAAAAGTGCTACCTGGAGACAAACTATCCCACAATTACATGACCAATTCAACATGTGCCAAAAAGACTGAGTCTATAATTGCCTTCTAGTTCTAGGATACATGAAATTATTCAAGAAAACTGAAATCCATACCCTGAATTAGCAGCCATGCCAAGCGGAGACCATGATATTGATCGGACCACAGGCTTATCATCCCTATACAAAGCCGTTGGCAGGAGGCATCCAGAGAGTAAATCTGCATATCAATTCCAACATGTAAAATTTATGTGTTAACACTACGCGGTTGGTAACAGGCCAGTGAAATTTCTCATTCACATTCAACATCATCACATGTGAAATTTTAACTATAGGCACTACACTAATAATAATAATGTTGCTTAATCTTAAATTTGGGGTTTTAGCTAACTTAACCCAATCAATTCATAAATGAGGAAGACTCCCCCTCATATGCATTATTTTTACGACATTACTAGTCAACAAGAGATCTCTAACACAACTCCTCACGCCAAGGCCTAGATATCCCTTTCCTGAAGTTCAAAAAAGCTGGACATCTACAAGTGACCGATAATCAGTGGCCCCATCAGTCCAATAATAACCATTAGGATACATTCCGATATCAGCTTACAATTTCAACTTAGACCTAATTCAACCTCAAAAGCTAGTTGATGAGATGAGGGTTGCCCCCGCTCATAAATCCCATGTCAAATTTTGAACACACACCTCGAATTAAGAGACTAAACATCTCAAGCATAAAGTAGACAAAGTAGGCAAGACCGAACATGTACAGGTGGCCAGATAATAAATCCAACGACATCTACTGGGATAAGTTCTATACCATATTAAATTTGGAAAAGAAACTAACTCATCTTAAAGAACAAGCTCATGAAGTGATGCTTAGCTACACTTATACACACTAATTTGAGTCATTCACCATAGATAAGACACGCCAAAACAGCCCATCGAACTAACTAATGCACTAAACAAGCGAAGCAAAACACTAATGACTAATTAACGAATGATTTTCAGAATGAAGGTTGCAGTAATGGCAGTACCTTGTCTTTCTACAAGTCCTACACAAAGAGGCTGGCTTGGGACGATTTTAATTACGCCTCGTGGTCCACCAACAGGCAAATCAGGTCTCTGAAAATAAGAAAGAAAATCAAAGGAACAAACTTATTCCATGGAAAAAAGAGAAAGGAAAGTGAATAGCGCATTCAACTTGGTGAAGGTTGGATTCAGTACAAGAATGGTGACGAGGTGGCCGGAAGCAACGGCAATGAGGTTGTCGTCGGACCAAGCAATGGCGTTGGGAAAAGAAGGAGCGCCCAAAAGCATCGCAGGTTGTAACGGACTGGGACAAGAACGCGCCATGCTGTGGTTTTTTGAAGAGCGAAGAGATGTGAGTGCGAGAGTGAGGGTTCGAATCCCTAATATCATACAAATAAATAAATATCGATTAAAAAATAATATACTGAACTGAATGATTATGTGTGTGTGTGTGAGGATCCCCTGTATGAAGGTGCATGGTATGGACGATGAGCTTCAAACAAAATAGGTTTTTAGATTTGGTTTTTTGTCAACGGTAGCCGACGACTCCCATTAAAAAATAGGGCAATATTGAGTTTCCATATTTTTTAAAGAGTATCTTTCAATTTTAAAAACAAAATCGAACTAAATGTTAAGATTTTTACAATATAAATTATGATAAGGATTTTGTAATTTATATTTTGATAAATTTTAATTATATCATTAAAATTAGAAAAATTAAACACTTTATTTTTTTTTATAAGATTTGAAAATATTATACGACTTTCAAACAAACACATTTAAAATTACAAAAAGTTACTGAACAAATTTATAAGAAATATAAGGTTCAGAGAGAAATAAAAAATATAAGCAGAAGAAAGTATCTAAAAATACTTAAAAGAGTAATTATTAGATTTCAAAGATTTTTAACAATTTTGTTAAGTAATAAAAAATTCTTAACTTCGGCATTCAGATTTTTGAAAGGTTAAAAATAGATTTTTGAATTATCAAAAAACTTATAATCCCACAATAAAGAAGATGGGGAGGATGTGGAGGCACGTCAACACAACGACAATACAAACTTAAATAATTTGATCTTTTTCCCTACATACATCTCATATATAATATAGATGAGATGATATGCGAGATAATAATGAATGATGAGATAAATAAGATAGATATACTATAATATGTTTTATTTTATTATATGTAAAATAAGATAACAAAATATATTATTTATTATATATTTTAATACATTTATATTGTACATAAAAAATTCTTTTATAGAAATGAATATTTTTAAATTTTAGGTCTAGGGGGGGGGTGGGGGGGGGGGGGGGGGGGGGGGGGGGGGGTGGGGGGGGGGGTGGGGGGGGGGGGGGGGGGGGGGGGTGGGGGGGGGGGGGGGGGGGGGGGGGGTGAGGGGGGGTAGATAATTATATTATTTTAAAATGTTTTTACTTTTAGTTCTTTTTCTTGTTTTTTTTTCGTTATTTTCTATTTTTCTAGATCAGTATCATGAAAAGAAAAAATTTTATATATATATATATATATATATATATAATATAATGATTTAATTATTAGTATGTAAATTAAGATAATAAAATATATATTTATTATATATGTTAATAAATTTTAAATTGTAATAAAAAATAATTTGTAGAATCGAATATTTTAAATTTTTAGTATAGGGTATGGGATAATTATTATTTTAAAATGTGGTTTACTTTTAGTTATTTTTCTTGTTTTTTTTCGTTGTTTTTATTTTCTAGATCAGTATCATGAAAAGAAAACTTTATATAACTAATGTAATATAGTTATTATTATTATAGTTTTTAATATTAGGTCCCAGGGTGTTGTTTAGGCCCAATGAAAACAGCGGTGTAAGGATGGCATGGGAGGTGCATCCGAAATAGTGTGATCAGATTCAACCATTTTTTTTATTTTTTAGGGTTCTTTTTCTGAAAAAAAAAAATGGCAGCTGCCTTTCTTCTTTCCTGGGTAAAACAGGGGTCATCCTCTTCTCTCTCCGTGGGGAACAGCAAGCACCCACCGAGCAAGCACCGCCACGCTCCTTCCGGTCGGCCAAAGGTGTAGCTGGCGACGCCCGCTCGTCGCCAGACTCATCGCCGGCCACCGCGAAGCCCCTCTTTTCACGTCTTCTCCTCGTGGCGAGGAGAGAGAACACCTCGATCGATTCTCCTATTCCCTTATCTTTCTGTTGTGATTGGGTTGGTTTCTAATGGGTTGCGTTGATGATTTCACATCGAAACTTTTGAAGATGGGGGGTTTTGGTTGACGACGGGTTGTGGGGAGGGAAGGGTGATGATGGTGTTCGCGTAACAATGGTGTAAGATTATGATAGAAGACAGAGACGTGGTGGATAAATTAGGGACTGGGACTTCAGGTAAAGATGAAATATGGCCTATGCATTTTGGTGGTGATCGGAGAATGGGCGAAAAATAGCCATGATGAGTACTATATACAATTCTTTTGGAATATTTACAAACAATATCATACCACACACAGAATGTTGTCAATAGCAAGTGAAAATTGGTATTCAAATGCAGCAAAACTAACTCAAAATGAGGTATATTAAACTGCAGCAAACTAACTCACTAAAACATGGAGACACAGGTGTTCAAGGCATGTGCTTACCTCTTGGAGCTCCTTCACTGTTTCGTCTCGTACATCATTATGGTTTCTCTTCATCATATGGTATAAATTGCACCAAATGTATAATGTCAAAAACATTTTTTTTTTATCTCTTTTTTTTTCTTCTTTCCTTTTAATTATATTAAAAGCAAAACTATTACACACGTTTTTGTCTAATATTTTAGAATCTTTTTTCTTTTTATTTTAAAAAACAAAAACAAATAAAAAGAGAAATCAGTGATAATTGAAATTAAAAAAAAAAAAAGTTCAAAATAGAAATAAAAAACGAAAAGAAGTAAATAAAAATAAAACACGACAAAATAAAATAAAACAAAAAAACAATAAAATAAAGATAAAAAAATAAATACAGTAAAAGAAAAATGTAACAAACAACTTTTTCTTAAAAATAATAAGTTTATACAAAGTTTATTTTACGTTTTAATTATTTCTTCTTAACTCTAAGTATTGACACTGTCATAATATTAGCACTTGACATTATATTTGGTACATGTAACGTAGTAAAAATCTATATATGTGTATAATAAACAGGATAGTTGAGATAGAGTTGAAGATATAGTATATAGAGATATATAGATATATATATATATATATATATATATATATATCTATTTGTGCGATCGAAATCGTGAACGATGACGAACAAAAGATAAACGAATTTAAGAAAAAGATTTTGGGAAGTCGTTTCATAATTTATTCTGAAGATAAAATATGAACAAAAATAACAGCTCTAATTAATCGGAAATAGTACATAAGGGTAAACTTCTTACAAAACAAACTAGATTTTAAGTTCGGAAAATGAGTTACAAATAAGGAGTTTAAATCCTATCTCCATCTAAAACCAGTACCTTCAATAATTGTACAGTTTTCCCAAATATTTAATTTTCCCCAAAATTATAATAAAAGAAACTATAAGAAACAAAAAAAATTATTTTTATCAGCAAGATTGATATTGCTCTTATTTATGATAGAAAATGAGAGATCGCTGTAGGTTCTTTATAAAAAAAAGGTTTGGTAAATTTATTTGAAAATTATTATGGATTTGTTTTAGATTTTTGAAAAGTAAATCCGACAGGGTTAACCTTGTTTCTACGTATATTCATTTATGATAGAAAATAAGGGATAACGTAGTTTTTGTAAAAATAATTTGTTTAACAATGTTGTCATTTTTAGTTTTGAAGATTTTGTATTTTTTTATTTTAAGAATGGTGGAAAAAGAAAGAAATCGGAACTATAAAGCCAACCGGGGTGGGGGTACTAATACCCTTTATTTATGATTTATTATTTTTTTAAAACAAAATATGTGATAAGAAAAACTTTTTATTTTTGAACTTGTTTATGTATAATTTTTTTTTGAAAGAAAAAATATTAAAATAGTTTAACGTGATCGCAAGATATTAAAAACAATAACAAAAAGAAACAAGGAAAGACCTTCTTTTTTATGATTCTAAAATGTTGTTTGTGAGCAATGCCTTTTAGAAGAAAATTCCAAAGTTAAGTGTATAAAAGGCGTACAAAATAATATAATACACCAAATCAAAGGAGAAAAATAAATGCGGAGGTAACATACCTTTCCAGTCTTTTGATACTCTCCTAGTTCTTCTTTGGCAGTTGTTGTTGACAGAATCCCTTTTGCGTGAAAACTTATTTTTCTCTATACTCTCATCTCTCTTTCTAGTTTCTCTATCTCCATTATTTTTGTAGCCTCTCTCTTTTCATCTTTGTTTTTTATGAGTGGGTGCGTTTATTATATACACAGTATGGTAATAGTATGTCTTTGTCTTAATTATGAAATGAAATTGACCATAACCAAAATATGGAAACAAATGGGTCTTGGTTGCGACAAAAATAATACGCAAAATCACATAATTTTAAACATTGATTATAATATTTTTAGGAACTTTGTTTGTAATTTAAGGACCATATTTTTCTCTTAAAAAAAAACTGACGCAGCATTATACGGGAGTATAATATGCAAAATATATACTTATATTTATCACTAAGGAATATCACTTATAATTATTGTCATATCTAGAGAACTAATATTTCAAATAGGTCCCTTCTTTTCGGCGTCTCAATTGGGTCCTGTATTTTGTAAAATTGAATCAAATAACGGTTTGCCGTCAAATTGAAAAACGTCGTTAAGGAGGTGTTACGTTGGAATGCTCCAAGTATTACAGTGAAGAAAAGTCGGCATGTTGACACCTTGGTGGGTGTCAGGCCTAGTGGGTCGGTCGGCCTGGTGTCGGCCACTCGATTGGTGGTCGGTCGGGGTCGGCTGGGTGGTCGGCCTGGTGGGTGGTCGACCACTAGGACCGAGTGGCCGACCATCAGGGCGACCACTAGGGTGTGAGCATGTCACGCCAGCATGCCAACTTCCCTTACACATGTATACTGTCAGCATGCCACCGTAACACCCTCCTTAACGACGTCTTTTTTCAATTTGACGACAAACCTCTATTTGATTTAATTTTACAAAAATAAGGACCCAATTGAGATGTCGAAAAAAAAGGGACCTATTTGAGATTCTGGACGAAAATAGGGACCTACCGAAATATTAAACCTAACAAATAATTACATACGTTCTAATGTTGATCACTCTCTTTTCTGAAACATGATACATGTTATACTACTTGGATCTTACATATAGGCTGAATTGTTTCTTTTTTTTCTTGGGGAAACATTCAGCTATGAGATGACAAACTCACCACTTCTATTGATCTCTTCCACATCAAAAACTTGGGTGATCCACTACTTTCGTGCCAGTTGGAAGTTGCCCCGGGATA